CTCTCGGATCTGCTACCTGATAACCAATTCGGATTTCGTAAATTTAGATCCTGTCAAAATAATCTTACCGCTCTCGTTGCCAGTATCCACACTGGTTTCCTGGCCAAGCAGGACACCGTGGGCCTATTTATTGATATCAAATCTGCTTTTGACAATGTTCTCCCACACATCCTCTTGCAGGACCTCTTACGTCTAGACTTTCCCCCCCCCCTTATACTCGCCTTTATTTCCAATCTCTCAACGTACCATCCAATTTGTGAATCAAGGCACGATCTCGGATCCAAGAACCTCCTATAAGGGCACCCCCCAAGGATCCGTCCTTAGCCCCATCCTCTTCAATCTTTACTTACGTACTGTCAACGATGTGTTGCATCCTTCCACTGAACTTCTACAGTTCGCTGATGACATTGTCATCTTCTCATCAAATAAAGACACACCAACCGCCATTCACTCAGTAGAACAATCCCTTCATGCCCTCTGCACATTCCTGGGCAACCGTGGCCTTGAGATCTCAGTGCCTAAAACGCAACTGATGATTTTCTCTCTAAAGAGACCCTCTGTCCCGCCTAACTATAACATCTCATACCTTGAACATCGCATCCTCCCCTCCTCCTCCGTTCGCTTCCTAGGAGTTTTCCTAGACCCTAAACTCTCTGGCAAAACTCACATGTCCTTCATTATCAATAAAGGTAAGAAAATACTTCAAATCATCTCTGCTCTCAGGGGCACCTAGTGGGGGGCTCATCCTCATATGCTTATTTCCATCTACAGATCTATGCTGCGCGCTTCCATCGAATATTCTGCCCACATCTTCGGGCTTATTAATAACGATAAATCACGCGCCCTCCAGGTACTCCAAAACCAAGCCCTCCGCCTATGCTTCGGCTACCGCATTTCTACTCCCCTCAACGTGATCTACGCGGAGACTGTTGAGCTTTCTCTCCCTTTCCGATTCCGTCTTCTTACCTCCCGTTACTTTATGAAGATCAGTTCGGTGCGGGATCACCCAGCAGTGCTCAAGCTCCATGAACTCTGTGACTTGGCTATGCGCAAGAACAGAATGGACTATTTACGTGCCCACTTTCCAGCCGCACTTACTTTTCGTCACATCTGGACTTTCCATCAGGACATAGACTGCTCCTTTACCCTACCTAACTTCCGGCACTCTTTCCACTCTACTACTACCTCTTCTTCTTATACTTCTCTATCAGTACCCTCTCTTGAATCCTTGAAACTTTTTCCCAATTTATGCGCACAAGCCTTATTCGACCACGAATTCTCGCATCTTACAGCTGAATCCACCGTATTCTACACCGACGGCTCTAAAGTCGATCATGGGACGTACGTCGGGGCGGCTGTTTTCTCCCCGCAGTTGCGCGCCGAACTTATGTACAGACTCTCTTCGTACACCTCCGTCTTCTCGGCGGAAGCTTACGCTATATACAACGCAGTTACACTATCTATAGATTTGCACCTGCGCAAAGTTTCTATCGTCACCGACTCCAAAAGCGTACTTGATTCTATTAGCGGATCCATCAACCGTACTAATAACTATCTCATCCCTCTTATTAAGGCCGGATTGGAGGAGGCTGAGGCCAATGGCACGCGAATACAATTCATATGGGTCCCCTCTCATAAAGGTATCACTGGTAACGAAAAAGCCGACCAACTAGCTAAAAGAGCTATCAGACAGGGCATTGAACCGAATTTCAAGGTGCCATACTCGGACATGTCCGCAGTCATCAAACAACGGATTTCTGATAACTTCTATCGTCACCTTGAATCTATGGCAGAAACTAAGGGTGCTTACTTCTTCACTCATATATTTCGTAAATCTTCTAAACCTTGGTACTTCCATAAGAAGATTTCCAGAGAGATCATTGTCATTCTTAATCGCCTGAGATCCGACCACTACAATCTTAACTTCAGCTTATACCGCAAAAATCTATTTGAAGAACCCTCTTGTCCCTGCGGATCGCCGCGACAAGACATTATTCACCTGATTTATGATTGCCCTTACACCTACGTCCAAGCGCGATATTTAAGACGCATTATTGACCGCACCTCGAACGCCGGGGACAATGTTAATAAATTCGCGCAGGTCATCTCTGACCCGTCAGAATGTGTCAGCCGCCTCATTCTCAATCTTTGCAAAGCTTGTAACAGGCATTTCTGAACTCGTATCTCGCGCCTTCCCGCGACCTGCGCAGGCGCTATGCCCTGCCTCCGTCCACCCCTTCCCATCCTAGCGAAGCATTCTGCTCCGCTTGACTCGGTCGCGCGGTATACTAGTTGGAGC